TCAAAGCTTTTACATTTAAACCAATTTCAATAACATAATTTCTTATATTTTATTTTTTCTTGCACATTATTATTCTACCACCAACTATTTTTATTTATAAAAGTTTTTTCTTTTGATTCTCCAAGTATATCTTTTGCCACTTGTTTAATAGTGTTTGTTTCTTTATCCCACAGCATTTGCCTCATCATGGACATCCCAAATTTTGATTCTTGAATTTTATTCATAAAAATAATTTTATTTGTGTCTTTTAGATACCCTCATCTAATTCTACGATGACGAATCTTAATAGTATTTATTTTACAATTTTTCATCTTGAAATTCAGAACTAATAATCAATGTTGGGTACTTAAATCCTCATCTAAAATGACCTTACAATCCTTACAACCTCGACGATCTCTTCTTAAAGAAAATAATCGATTTTTGTTTTATTAGATTCATTCTTATAAGTAATAAAATACTCATCTCTTTTTTTGAATAAAGTATTAGTAATAATAAAATTATAGACTAAAAAAAATCTAATATGGCTCTATCATCTGCTCTATCATCTTCATTAATCACCCCAAAACTGTAGCCACCATGAATATTTCTAAAATCTTATATCACTCTATCGACATGTCCATTTAAATCTCATCTTCTTTCTTCAAGAGGCATCATTTGTATTAAGTCTTCTAAATCCTTTCAAAATTTATTTTTAGAACCTATATCTAAACCTACTTGAGGAGCATAAGCACTAATAATATTAAAAATCTTAATATCAATAATAATCTTAAGGGCTATAATTCTATGTCCAACTTTATTAATATTACAACATTATCTTTCAAACTCTTATATATAATTACACCTACATCATTTCTAGTCTGGCTCTTACCAGAATATCAAAGTTTAAAACCTAAGTTATCAATCTCCTTTTCCTTTTCTCCAACCCTTTTAATTTCTTGAATACATAAGATATTTATTTTTCTGTGAATCATAATATCAACTAATTCCATTAATTTACCATTGGGAGTACCTATATTCTAAGATCCTAATTTCTTTACCCGCATCCGTCCGTAATGTGGGAACCCATGCTTATTTGACACTACAGCCGGGCGCCGGTGCAGCGGCCCTTGCACACATTTTATTGTATTCTAGTCATACAACACATTGCTTTCAGTGGACGACCTAACACTTACACAATGATCATAAGGATTCATGTCATGATTTTTTTGATAAGTTTAACGTTGACTGTCAACTACCTAACGCAACTCTCCATTCTTTTTTTTAATATATATACAACTCGAGGAGGGAATCACCACATGATAAGATTTGGTGTCTGCCCCTAGGAACCCTTCTCCCGACCATACTAAAATTGATAATCTTCAGACCGAAAATCAGATAGCCACACAGCTTCGATTCAGGAAGCATCAGGTGCAGAGGTGACAATTTACTGACAACATACACTGGAACCTATCGTTGTAGCAACGATTGTCTTTCCTGTTCTAATATCTAATCAAACTAATCAAACCGAGGATCACATGAGCCAGTCTTCTGATGAAGAATGACAGATTTACACTTCTCGATGTAAGAAAAAGGCTGGGGGCACACTCCAACTTTAAAACTTAATGGATGATACTTTGTTTACTCCTGACAATGACACGACACTTCAAAGTTTGTTATCTGGCTCCGCTCCTAAAACTAGAGGAAGAGGCAGGACTAAACACATGACTAAACTTGCTCGTCCCTAGCTACTTGTTTTCTGCAAATTTTAATTTTTTGAGTCTATCTGTATCTTTTAGTTGGGATATTACTTTACTTGGTATCATATGAGTAGGGTGCCTCTATTGGGTCCTCTTATACAACCTTCATGTATCTTCACTATTTCAATAAAATCAGCCCTTGGGCTTTTCAAATATATTTATATATGTGTGTTGGGCACTAAAAGGTTGTTGATAGAGAAGTTGAATGTGACAGAAATGTGAATGACAAGAATAATATGTGACAAAAGTAGGATGATAAATCAATGGACGTTTTTATTATTGGGATGATTGTAGTAGCATTTTTTAAAAACGAGGTATTTGAAAATTTACTTACTTTGAGCATAACTAAGGATTGAAAATACATTAATTAGACAGGTATCTAAAATTAGTGTTAAGAGTAGTAGGATGAAATTGACTAGATTTAAATTAAAATGATTTGCCAATAATATATTTAATGCTTTAAATAATACTCGATACGAATAAATGAAAGCGGAGTGTTAAAGCAAATCTCAAATAGTAGGGATACTTGCAAAAGCAACTGTAACCTCTCTTAGAAAAGATTGAGGTGGTTGTTTTAGCCTAATGGAGTACCAAAGGTTCTATTGAGAAATTTCTACTCAGGTTGTAGGCTAAGAAGACTGGGAAACCCTTTTTTGCTTATTTGTGATTAGAAAGGGCTTGCGTGGTTGGCTACTAGAGTCTTACAATTTGGGAGAAAGGGCTTAGATTCTGAGCTGCTAAATGCTGTTGAAAAGATTTGTCAGTGCATTGCATTGCTTACCTAAAATTTGTAAATCCTAGGTTGAAGTGCAAAGGGAAACTGAAAAATCTTGCTGAGTTGATGGGGTTAGTGCAAGTTGTCCTTTTGAGATGATTTGTCTCCCAAAATACTACTTCGTCACTTGATCCTTCATGTCCTTTTATGGGCTCCAGCTGTTCTGCATTTAAATTAGGAAAACTTATAATCGCAAGGGGAAGCTGTCGAGTCGGATCTTCTTAGCTTGAGTTTGATACTTGCTTCTTTGAATTGTTGTTCGTCTTTTAGAGAAATAATATGAAGAGTTGACTTGGCTAGACAGGGAAAGCCTTGTTTTCTAGTGAGAAAAAAATAGGCAGCCAGTTTGAGAGGACGAAATTTGAAGCAATATATTTAGGAATGCATAAAATTGTGCTTACGGAAATTTTCTCTTCATAATGACGGGATAGCTTCTACTAACAATTTTTGTCTGAATTCAATAAGGATAACGATTAGTTTCTCACCTGATAGGATGACTTTTCTAATTAGCTATGATGGACAAATAAAAATGCTAGGGGTATAAATAACTGACTTCTTTGAATATAGAATGGTAGTTGTCCATGTAATGGATGACATGACATGGTGATTTATCCTAGTTGATGAGCGAGACTGCTGATGTTTAACCTCCTTGTATCATTCATGTATCTTTTTTGTTACCTTGCAGCTTCTTGTCATGCAACCTTTTATGTAGCTTCATATGTGCTCATGAGCTCAATGTAGAATAACCAAACTATCCGGCTAGCCCAAAGTGGTCAACTTGAATTGACCCAAACTAGTGTTGGTCAGTTGGTCCAATTGGCTGGAGAGCCTCTTGAAGCTAACAAGCTCCTTTTGTTTTTCATCCATGATTGCTCTTTACAATCTTTTGAAGTTTAATGGGGGTTTACTTGCAAATAGAATCCTGATTCACCTTGGTGAGCTTAATGAGTTTGCTTAAAGGTTAAGAGAGGCTTGGAGCCATGGATTTGTTGCTTTGTATTAGCTGCGGCAATCCTCCAAAGACCTCGCATAGGCAAATGCCTCATTCATGGGCTACATCATTTGCTTTTTCGTGGGAGTTTTGAAGTGTTAGTTTTGAAAATGGTGTGGCTGGAATACAAGCAGCTAGCATGGCAGTTTATAAATCATTATTATTTCTGTATTGCCTTGTATAAGTATATTTTTTACATATTGGTCAGGGAATGTTAATCAATTCATAGGTTTATGTTTAATTTTTTTATTTTCTTTTTATAGCTTTGTAATGTTTAAATAAAATGCGGACATGATAGTTTAAGAAATTATTAAATTAGATTGTTTAGGACTATTTCTTAGAAGAGCATAATAAATAAATACATAATGTAATATATTATAAAGTCATCAAACAAATAAACAAGGGAAACTAGCTCTTAAGATGTGGAAAGGTCAAATTTTCCAGCTGATTGATATTAGAATGAGATTTAAGGATATAGTATCCGCAAATAAGGCTAGTTAACATGAAAAGTATTGGGATTACCATGCAGTAATTTTATGAAAGGGGGATTTACATATTTTCCATTGAAATCGTACAAAATTAACACCTAAGCATTTTACCGATTTAAAACGAATTAGCAAAGTATATTTTTGCTGGCAATACATTCAAATTCTTGAGAATTTAACAATTTATTGAGAAAGAAAATTGTTAGTTCTGTTGTGATCTTCAAGATCAGGGGATATTATTGTACATAAAAATAATTATGACTTTTCTTTGACTAATCAAAATTTGAGTCTTACACATGAAATTGCCCTATTCTGTAGCCTTGTTATTTCCAAATAAAAAAATTGCTCACGTGGCTCTTCACCTATCTTCCAGTTTGCTTGAAAAATTCAGCTTAGAATGTATGGAAGCTTTTCAAACTGCCTTAGAATCATAGGTATAATACTACCTCCGTTATCATTTTCATTTGCTTGTTTTTGTTTATATTTACCATTTTGGGTACGCTTTCTTATGTGTTTTCTTTATTTTTAAGCTTTGGCATATAAATTTTATTTATATATTAACTGAGGAGGAATCATCCTTAAAAATTGATTTCCTACTAATAAACTGTATTTTATTGATCTCCATGTCGGTATTAACGCAAGAAAGAAACCTAGTTTCCCTTATTAGACAAGCGTTCATGTTTCCATAATTGGCTTAATGCGCTTCTCAGCTCTTTGTTGGAATGGTTTGTTCCAGTACAGAATGTTAATTTCATCGTTGCACCTTCATGAATACTCATGAATTGTCTGATTATAGAGTTTGTGTGGCCAAGGAAGTTCTTATTTGGCATCCATGACGTAAATATTTAAAAAAACAAATGGCATATCAGTGTTCTGAAGCTTTTGCTCAAACACATTGAGGCGAGGGGAAGTGCTGATTGAATAATTTGGAGAGAAATTAATGATTTTTACTGATTATTGTCTTGCAGAGTTATTCCAATATGCTTACCACTATTGTTTTTTTTTTTTTCCAGTGTCTCGAGGACTTCATGCGACTGGAGTGAAGAAAATGGGAGCCCATGGCCACGACGAACCATTCTATATTCATGCCAAGCACATGTATAATCTGGACCGCATGAAGCATCAAAAACTGAAAGTGTCTCTTGGCGTTCTGACAGCCTTCAGCATTGGCGTTGGTGTTCCTGTCTATGCCGTTATTTTCCAGCAGAAAAAGACGGCTTCTGGATGATTCATTCCCCCAACATTAAACAGTTATTTCAACCTTGAATCTAATAGTTTGGATTGCACTTTTTTGTTTCTTTCTTCCTTTTGGGACTTAGTTTGTTAAATAAATCTACGTGGTGCAAGCAAATGTGCCCTGCCCAGGATCAGGAACTTGTTCTTGACATGAATATAAAGATGGCTTATAAAACTTATGATTGCTAAGGCTATACTTCTATAGCACACGCTTGTTTCTTCTTTCTTATCGCTAGTATCATTCTGAAAGTTCACCATGAAGATTTGTTTACTTTTGGAAGATTGTAAATCTCTTTTTATGTTGTGTTTTATGCCACGGAAATCTACTTTGGGGATTGAAGAAAATATATATATATTTTTCTTTTTTAGCAACTGCATGAATAACAATGAATGCAAAAATAAAAACCAATTACTTGTATTTATAATAATATTATTTAAAATTTCAAGAGCACAAAGAAACTTTAATCATCATACTAAAATAATTATTTCAAAGATAGTTTCAAAATTATTATTTTTTTGTTCTTGAAATTTTAATAGACCTAGAATTCTTTTTTAAGATTTTTGCTCTTTGAATATAAATATTTTCAAGTTGAAATTTATTCTAATTTAAATTATTATTTTGCTTTTGGGTGTGCCCAACTTTTTTAATTTTTATTTAGGTAAGTTTTAGAGTGTCATTGTTTGGAGCATCAGCAATTTTAATTAACAAATATAGAAAAATGATTTTGTTTAACTATGGAAAATTTAGTGTGGCTGAGATATCTGCTTTTTAATTTCAAGTATATTTCTATTTTATCATTGTTAATTTAATATTTTTGAAACTAAAAATTTTATTGTTCTAATATTTTGAAATTAGGAAAATTAGAAAAATTAAATTTTGAGTATTAATGATTTCATTCATGCATGATTTCATCTTGAATGTTTAACAAAAATTCATTTTTTGGATATTTGAAAACTTTATATTTGTTATATTTCTAGCATTTACTTAGGAAAATATCAAGAAAAAAAAATTTCTAAAGTGATTCATTGTATGAGAACTTGTTTTAAATTTTATACATAATAAATGTATGTGCATCATGTAAAGCAATTTTTATTATTAAAATATTGTTTTTTTAACCAAATAAAAATAAATTTTTATAGTCAATTTAATTAATTAAAGCTTCATTTGAGTTTCTTAAAGTTAACAAAATAAAATATTAACTATATCTAAATATTCTATAATTATTGGTTTATTTTATCTGATATTTTATTTATTTTATTTACTTTTTGTGTAATAATGATAGGAATCTATTAACTAATACCATAAAAAACTAATACTTTAATTAAAGCATTTGGATGTTTCGCCAATCATGAGTTGAACTTCCATTCAATTTTTCTTAGTTAAATTTAATTTTAAAATTAAGGAAACTTTCATTTTTTACTTATGTTTTTGCTTGTGTTTGACTACTAAAAATGTTAGTTTCAGAACTACTTAAATAGTAATTATACTTTTGATTACATCCAATATTTTAAAAAATGTTAGTTTGAAATTTTTGATAGTTATGAGAATCTTTAATGTGACCCTAAAATTATTTTTAAGGAGTTCAAAATAATGAAAATTATATTTTATTTGATTTAGTACAAGGTATTATGAGACAAAATTCCAAAAAAAAAAAAAAATAGAATGATCTAAAAGAATTAATATAAATGATACCTTTTAAATAAAGAATCTTTATTAGAAGAGATTTAAATGGACATATTGGTAGAGTGGTAGAAGATTCTAGAAACATTCATGGTGACTATGATTTTGAAGTGATTAATGAAGATGGTAGAACCATATTAGATTTTGCTTTAACTTATGATTTTGTTATTGCTAATATTTTATTCAAGAAAGAGATGAACAAATTATTACCTATAAGAGTGGATCTAATAAAACAAAAATTGGTTGTTTTCTTAGGGGAAGAAGAGATTGTCAAAAATGTAAAGATTATAAGGCCAATTCAAGTGAGAATTTAAATACTCAACCTTGATTATTAGTTTTGTATTTTAAGATGAAGAGTTGTCAAATAAAGAATACTAGAAACTATTATCATAGAATTAGATGGAGGCACCTAAAAAATACAGATAATTTTTTTTTATGAGTAAACTTGAAGATTTCAAGAATAGGGATGTTCATGAAGAAACAAATTCAATGTGGGATAAAGTAACAAACATTGTTAAACAAGTGGCAAAAAATGTACTTGGAAAACAAAAAAAAAGTTTTTATGAATAAAAATATTTGGTGGTTGAATAAAAGTAGGCAAGAAAAGATGAAATATAACAAGTTATGTTAGGAAAATTGATTTAAATGTAAATACTTGGAGAACTAGAAAAAATATAAAACAATTCGTTGGTATTCTAAGAGAATAATCTGTGATGATAAAAATTGTGCTTTTAGTGATCTTTATAATAAATTAGTATATATATATTTATATATTTGTATAATAGGAGCTTATGTAGCTCCAAATTCATTAAAACCAAAAGAAAGAGTTTACAAAACCTGGAAGGAGGACCTCCTAGAAAACCCCAACTAAGCAAAAACTCTAATTTAAAGGAGGGCCAAGAGGTCTCCCTTCAAAAGAAAATTTAAAGGAGGAGAAAATTTACTAATCAGAATATTCTCAGAATGGAGCCCAACCTGCAGCCTTCCCTATAAATATGAGAGTAAATAAACCTGAGTCCCAGACTCATTCTTTAAATGCTATCATACAAATACTGAAGATTCCAAGGACATGTCATCCTTCCATTTAAAATGCTGAATAGGGTCAAGGAATCTGATTCAACCAGAACTTGATCGAAACCACACCTCTTTGCAATGAAGATGGCCCAAAATATTTCTTGAGTTTCAACTTCCAAAGTATCTTCAACTCAGGTAGGAGAACGGAAATAAAGCAAGAAGTTGCCCTTATAATCTCTGAATACACCTCCCACTCCAGCATGAAGGGCTGAAAAACTGCCATTAGTATTAACTTTAATCCAACCAGCAGGAGGGGACTTCCAAAGGATAAGAGTATAAGAAATAGTCCTTGGATTGTTATGGACTGGCTGACAAAGATTGTCAGGAAGTTTCTTATGCTTGGGAGTTTCTGAAAATAACTAAAGCAATTAGTAGCAATGGCAGTTGCTTCCATTTTAGAATCATCAAACTTGATGTAATTTCCAGCCATCCACAAGAACCAAGCAGTAATACAAGGTACAGGAGGTAAGGATTGAACAAGCCAATCCTACCAGCTCTGAAAAAAATTAAGCCAGGACAGCTAAATGGTTTGAATCGTTAGTTTGGGCACTATAAGACACCATACTTGCTGACTAAAAGCACAGTTAAAGAAGATGTGCTGAATTGACTCCTCCTCAGATCTACATAGAACACACCTAGAAGGGCCCCTCAGTCCCTTAAATTTCAATATATCATTAGTGGGTAGCAAATTGTGGAGGAGTCTCCAGCAGAAAAAATGACATTGAAGGAGACAAGAATTTACTCCAGAACATAGATCCCCATTGAACCTCCTGCTGAGGGAAAGATATTTTGGAAATAGCTGCTGAAAGGGTCTGAGACAAGCCCTTTTTGACCACAATTTTGTCTTTCTTAGAAGAATCAATTGGTATCCTCATTACATTGCTGATTTGAGTGGTGTCCAGAATATCTGAAGAGCCTGCAGGTTCCAATTGTCATCAATCCAAAAATCAGCTACCTGAAGTGAGACATCAGTAGATTGATGAGAATTTGGGATCAGTTTCCCTCTCCTTTCCTATTGTCCAGCCAGAAATTGATCTTGCCCTCCCCCAATTCCCATATGAACAGATTTTTATCCTTTAATCTGACTTTCAACATATTAACCCAAGCTCTAGAATCACCAATTTTCCTGGACACTAAGGAGGGATGTTGGTCCTTACAGAATTTACCTTTCATAAATTTGGCCCATAAGGAAAATTGTGCTCTGAACATTATCCAAAGTTTACAAATAACGGTTTGGGTGATCTGTTGAAAGCTCTTGAAGCCCAAACCCCAGCTCTGGTAGTTTTCCAGACCTTTTGCCATCTCACCCAATGCATTTGCTTTCTTTGACCAGCCTACAAGAAACAATTAAATGTTCTTTCAACAGTGTTCTGGATAGACTTTTTCATGACAACTACTTGAGATAAGAATAAAGGGAGAGCTGCCAAGACAGTTCTAAGAAGTGTAATTCTTCCTGCATTAGATAGAAAGGAAGTAGATCAGTAGTTAAGTTTTTCTTGTATTTTAACAACTATCTCATCAAATTGAGTTTGTCTAGCCCTCCCTTTCAGCAAATAAGAACCCAGACACTTTAAAGGAAGGGAATAGTATAGAAACCAATAAGGTCAGTGATCCAATGTTTAATTTTAGGCTTAATTCTTTTACTGAAGACTACCAAACATTTCTGGGAATTGAATTGCATTCTAGAGCTTGATTGAAACTTATCCAGACAATGAAAAATCTATCTTACAGCTGGCTTAGTAGCTTTAGCAAATTAAATAACATCATCAACAAATGGTAAATGGTTAACAACATTGTTGGATTTGTGATTATATAAAGTATGAGGAGAATTCACATTGAGCTAATTAAGAAGCCTAGATGAATAATCAAAGGCAAGAATAAAGATGGTGGGTGTGGACGATTCTCGCGTTAGCCTATTTGAGGACAATGAAGGGGACCCATCCGATCGCGCGTTTACTCATCAACGGATGAGACCTAGCCGGATGAACTCTTAATACGTGAACCGCGCACGGGGCATGCTAAGGTTGAAAGCGCAACGAATGGGAGCACGCCGCATCGCCATTCGGACCTGCCTAGAATGAGGCGGCGTTGCACATTTAAATAGATAAATAGGGAATTAAATAAATCAGAATATGATCTCTAACTTCAAAAATCCATATCTTGGTGTCTAGCCGGATGAACTCTTAATACGTGAACCGCGGGTCACGGGGCATGCGAAGGTTGAAAGCGCAACGAATGGGAGCGTGGGAGCACGCCGCATCGCCATTCGGAGCTGCCTAGAATGAGGCGGCGTTGCACATTTAAATAGATAAATAGGGAATTAAATAAATCAGAATATGATCTCTAACTTCAAAAATCCATATCTTGGTGTCGCAAAATCACAAAAATAAAATAAAAATACCCACTTGCTTAATGAACAAAGGAGAACAATGTGGAAATAATTTTAAGTTTA